CGGTCTGTCGAAGAGCTCCCGGCCATATCGCCTGAGGCACGCCCACGCTCCTCTGCTCCTGTAGTTGATCTCCCGGGTGAGGTCGCCATATTCGTTGACGAGGCCACCGAGGTACCGGAACTCGGTCGTCTGGGCGTATTTCTGCCCCGCGGCTTCGATGGTCAGCGGTGGAGGCGGGGGGGGCTGTGATGTTGTAGTCGGCTTGTCCTTCGCGCGCATCAGGAGCGTCTCCGCCTTCTTCTCCGACACTGTCAGCCCGAACTCCCCGAACACCTCGACGATGATGGTCATCATCCTCGCCAGTCCTTCTGCGGACCTCGATACGACGCTGGCATCATTGGCATATAGCATCCCCCATACTGCCCTCTGTACTCGGTCAAGGGGTGTCTCCTTCCCCCCCCCCGCTTCCGTTTTCCCTTCCTCCAAGCACACCAGGCTCCGAAGAAGAACACCATCCTCGCTGAATCGGATGACAACGACCTCGAGGACCTCGACGAAGAAATGTTGAACAGCAGTGGGGATAGCACACATCCTTGTCGCACGCCCTGTGTCACGGAGAACCAGTCCGATAGTTCTCCGTCGTCCATGCGCACCCGGGCCCGCATCCCATCGTGGAATTGGCGGATAACTTCGATCAACTTCGTGGGAATCCCGGTCCTGGCCAACACCTTCCACAGCATCACTCGGTCCACCGGATCATACGCCTTCTTCAAGTCGACGAAGCACATGTAGAGCGGTATTTTCTTTCTCCGCTCCAGCTCCTGGAGGCGGAGCACGACGAACAGCATGTCGACGGTGGATCGCCCGGGTCGAAATCCGCACTGTTCCTCCGGGAGGATGTTGTTGGCTTCGCAGAAGGCGCTTAGACGGTTGGTGATGATATTGATGGGGACCTTGCCTTCATGAGATAGTAGCGAAATCCCCCTGTAGTTGTTACAGTTGGACCGGTCACCCTTCTTGATGGTTGCATCCTTCCACTCTCGCGGGATATCTCCTCCGTTCCACACCTTGACGAGGATGGTATGGAGGTGTCCCAGGACGAAGAGTTCGTCGTCATCGATCTTGAGCTACTCGGCACGGAGGGACTNGGAGGATGTTGTTGGCTTCGCAGAAGGCGCTTAGACGGTTGGTGATGATATTGATGGGGACCTTGCCTTCNCAGGGTGGGGGATTTGGTGTTGAATAGGGTGCTGAAGAATCTCGCCCACTGCTGGAGGATGTCGTCC